TTTTCATTAGAAATTTCAATAGTGGAGGGTCTTAATTCTCCTAAGAAGTTTTTGGAAATTTTAGGAGTAAAACACAAGCACATTATTTTCCATTGCTCTTGAAAGATAGTAGGAAAATAAGCAATATCTTATGTAAAGATAATTTTAACATCTTTGTAGATCTGCTGTTAGATTCTCATCGATTATTATAATCTATGAAAGTACGGAGCTGGACAGCAGTCCCAGAGTTCACTGGGTATGTGGGTGTCCCCGTGGACCACACGTGAGCCCCACTCAACAGTGAGAGGATGAGAGCCCACCTGCAGCTGCGTTGAATTCTGTCCCCGAGGACACTGAAACCTAACTCTGAGAGTTGGGCGTGGACTGAACCTCTAAAAAACCAGGCTAGAAGGGAGTGGGGTGGTGAGGGGTGGTGTGCTGTGTAGCCCCCAGAGAAATGGAACACGTCTTCTGAATCGTGGGGTCACAGGTAGGGGGACCCAGCAGGAGAGCCTACCCAGAACCCAGGAGCTTGGCCACGCAAGGATTCAGCTTCCACGTCCATCAGGCCCAGAGAGCAAGCACTGAGGCATCTTAACAGCAGTATGATATGTTCCACCCCCTTGACCTGTTTGTTCTCCCCTTCTCCAAGCCGGGGTGGGGGCCAGGAAGGAGAAATAGCAGTCAGGGGGCGGGAGGGAGAACAGAAACTCTAGACCAAGAAAGAAAAGGACGATGTGTTCTCTCCAGCAAAAGAGCCCTGGCAGCCAGTTGTTGCGGAAAAGGGGAGAAGTCTTACTTTTAAATCAAGATTTAAGTGTTAACTTTTATGTGAGACATTCTAATTTCTGAATCAAGGCTCTGATTGACAACTTAAAACAATTGTAGAGCTTGATTAAGAGTAATCCAAGGAGTCACTGCATTTTTTATATCAGAGATAGGCTCTCAAATGTACCAACAGTTTTGTTGCAACTTTAAAAAAACTCTCTGAGTTCTTTACAGTGTTCTTAAAAACCCTTTGGAAACATTTTCTTTGGCTGTGTAACTGTGACAACTCCATACCATGAAATACTGACTGAACATTTCTCTGTTGTTAAGACAGTTACATGGCTCCCATCTTTATATGTAAATGTATCTTTATCGTGTTTATTGTTTTCTTAAATTCCTAAATTGAATATTACCTTAAAAGGTAAATTTTAATGCTTTAGATACTTTTCTTAATTTTTAAAAAATGTTTACTAATTTTAGAGAGAGAAAGGGGGGAGAGAAAGACACATCGGTGTAAGAGGGGAACATGGGTTGGTGGCCTCCCGTGTATACCCCAGCCTGGGATTGAACCCAAAACCTACGTATGTGCCCTGACCAGGAATTGAACCCCCCAACCTTTTGGTGTATGGGGACCATGCTTCAGCCAACTGAGCCACACTGGCCAGGGCTGTTTTAAATACTCTTTACATGACATTTTAAGTATATAAAATTTTAAAGCGAATGATACTGACTTCATTTTTAAGGAAAAATAAAAGACATAGAACCACTTTTTTTCACGACATTGTACATGGATTTTGACAAAGGTGAGACTGACTTGGATTCTCTTGCTATTTCCTCTTTTCTCCATTTTCTGCTTCTTGACATTCTCTCCCACCTATGAAAATGTCCATCTTCCTTTTCTTTGCTTTGGGATTTTTTTTTTAATTTCTAAAAAGGAGTAAGTAAAAATTCCAAAGCAGCCAGCTTGAATCAATCTTTCTGTTCCTCTTAGGAGTAGGCAGTTCCTCCAGGCAGTGAATTAGCCCTTTGGAAACCACTGGCCTTGCGTTTCTCCACCCCCAGTGTCGGCGTCCGTGACCTGGAAGGCGTTCAGGAGACGCACTGTCTCAGATCCTCAAATCTGAAGATGAAATCCTGTTCTTACTAATTATAAGTAGTTTTGGTTGTTGCTGCTGCTGCTGTTTTGTTCTGAGTTACTGGATTTTTTAAAATTATGGCTTGCTTTAGTGAAAGTTGGAAATGGATTCATTACAATCCAAGTTGGTTCTTGCTTCATGTTGTAGAAATATGTCAGGAGAGTTTGCTCTTTAAAGGAATCCATGCTGAATACCTTCTATGAATATAGAGAATGTAAATGTGGACTTTTCTATTTCTGTGTCAGGAATAATATTTTGTCTAAGTTCAGGCTACAGTATTTAGCAGTAGTTAATTAATTTTTGCTGATAAACTAGATAATATTCCCCCCTATATTAGTATCTTGTGTGTTTTTGTTGGGTTTGTTGCCGCAGGAATAGATGTTCAGATCAGTTCTCCAGTGTGGCCCCCCACCCAGAAGCATCAGAGTCACCCCCACCTGGGAGCCCTTTAGAAACACAGGTTGTTGGGCTCCCTCCCAGGCCTCCTGTTCAGAAACCGGGTTTTAACAAGCCCCTTCGGTGAGTCTGGGACATGCTCAAGTCTGAGAACTCCTGGTGTAGATCGTATCTGCACAGCTCCTATCACTGAGGCCAGGGTTTGGTTTAATTCCAAGATATGCATTAGGAGCTATGGCGGTACAGCTTCGGAGAGATGTGTGGATGCAACGCTGATAGCGAAGCTGCCTCACAGGAGTTGCTCTCATTGTTTGCAGTGGCTGAGCTTTTCAAAACTGAACAGAGCCAAGAACCCTTCACTGCTGAGCTGAACCGAAGTGTTTCTGTACTGGGGATAATTAGCAGAAGCTTCTCATTTGTTTGCATCCTTCAGATTGTGTCTCCCTTCATTACCCAGACACTAAAACTGACAAATCATGAACACGTATTTCAAATACATCAGGTTATTTTCAGGGTTAAGGAATTTTTTAATTAGTTCTGCTCAAATGCTTTTAAGTTGTAGATAATTACAAGCAGACATACAATACCTGGAGGACACTTCATTAGTATAATATAGTATTTGTTAATTATGAACATTTTTATATAGGTGTTAACTTATTTCTAAGTGTTTATAACATCTACCTATCTGGTTATTTTTAAAACATTTTTCGATCTGGCTGATGCGGCTCAGTGGATTGAGTGTTGGCCTGTGAACGGAAGGTCGCAAGTTTGATTCCCAGTCAGGGCACATGCCTGGGTTGCAGGCCAGAACCCCAGTTAGGAGCTTGCAAGAGACAGCAGATCTTTGTGTCTCTCATACATCAATATTTCTCTTCCTCTCTTCCTTACCCTGTCTCTAAAAATAAATAAAATCTTTAAAAAATTTTTTAATGGAAGAATGCTATGGTAGTATGTATGTGCATATGTGTGTGCATTTTTATTGGAAAATTCTCTTTTCCTGAACTTAAGTAGTACATGCATTTATTAATTATTTCAAGTGGATCCTTCAAGGTAGAATATTGATTTTTTAAACATAGTGTTACTTTATAAATGGAAACACCTTTTTTTTTTTAAAGAACTAGAAGTTCTCACTAAAGTTAGGGCTTTAGGGCTTTTCTGGATCTTAAATCTACAGCAGATTTTAATTTTTTTAACTTAGGAAGATACTCTCAAGAAGAGGTGTAACTGGTTTGGGGCAGTGTCTTCTTGGCTGCACAGGTGGGTCTCGTTCATGGTGTGGATTAGGATCAGTGACAAGGGGGCCATTAGAGAAAGGTGACAGTGTTCCCTTGGTGCGTATTGAAAAGCGGAAGAGTTTCTAGGGTAAACCTACCAGCTTTTTGAGGATGCTATGTGTGATTTTTAAGAAAAAAGTGTATCTAAGTATTGTCCACTCTCTCTGTATAACTAGGTCATATTGTGAAAGGTCAGTTTGTTATAATCAGCCAAACAATCAGCCAAACAAAATCACTCATTCAATCCCTATTTTCTAAATGACTTTGACTCCAGAATGAGGGAGGATTGGAACATATTTTAGGAAGACCATTACCCAATCAAATAAGTCTGTAATTTCTGACTAGTTTATAGCAAAAGATGTGGTGGAGAATTCAGTATTTGGAATTTCCTGTGATTATTTATTTATGGGCTCAAGTGAGATTTAAAAAATTGAGAAGGGGAAGCAATGTTCTGAAATTAATTAGTCTTTTTGTGCATGGGCCCAGCCACAGCTAGTGAATATCCTGTATCTGTGGCCTTTATGCTGGTACACTACTTAACCCATTTTCGTATGTAATTTACTTCTTTCTAAGCTTAGTACAATACTTAAACCAATCACCTTTAAGTACATAAAATTACATAAAAGTGGCCACAGGCTAATAGATTTTTTTATTCTCTGAGAACTTAGAATATAAAGTATCAATTCCTCCTAAGGTAACTTATTCAAGAATAATAAGTGATGCATTAATTTTTATCTTTGTTAGTGAAACGGGTCACATACAAGTACAAGAAATCGTTTAAGTGGGGCTGGGTGCAGGCAAAGGGAAGAAAATGGGAGCCATCTCTAATAATGTCAAAAACAACAAAAAAGACAGTGAAAAGAAATTTGAAGAGAATTTATATAGAACAGGTTTTAAATTTTCAAATTCAATTTTATTTTTTTAAAGATTTTATTTATTTATTTTTAGAAAGAGGGGAAGGAAAGGAGAAAGAGAGAGAAATATCAATGTGTGGTTGCCTCTCATGTGCCCCCTACTGGAGGACTGGCCTGCAACCCAGTCATGTGTCCTGACTGGGAATCCAACCTGCGACCCTTTGGTTCACAGCTCGTGCTCAGTCCACTGACCTACACCAGCCAGGCTCAAATTCAGTCTTTAAATAATATGCCTCAAGTTATTTGAAATGGTCACAAGGAACCTGATGAGTGAAAACTAGGAAAGATTAAAGCACGTTATTCATTTTCTGCATAGGATAGGAAGAAATATTTTTAAACTTATTTTTCAGTTGGTCCTGATGATTCGTGGTACTTGGTTCTCTTTGAATTAGAGTAGTTCTCAGTGGAGTCTTTGACCTTTTTGTTATATTGTCTTGGGTTGAAGACAAATTTCATATTGTCTTTTTGACTCATAAACTTCATGTTTAGCAGGTTTATCCTAACAAACCATTTTATTTGTCTTACTTCTCTAGTTATCTGAGGGAAACCAAAAGCATGCAAACCTACAGAAAAGCATCGAGAAAGCTAAAGTTGGCCGCCATGAAACGGTGAGTGTGTGTCTGTAGACTCAGACTCGCATCGGTTCTCAGGAGGGAAGTGAGGACACACAGGGTCCGGTGAGGAGCGTGCTGCTTCTGCCGGAAGAGAAGCGAGTCGTAGCGCAGGACGTGAGCCTGTGCCCTGGGAGGACTCCCTGGGAATCTAGATTCGTTATTACTTTATGGTATTGTATGTGGCAGCGTAGCACAGATGCATAAACTCTGGAGCCAGGCTGCCAGGGTTTGAAAGTCTCCTGAACTCTCTGCCCTTGATTTTCTCAGTTGTAAAATGGGGAATAATAAAATCTACCTCGTTAGGTAATTGTGTGGATTAAATATTGGCAAAGCACTTAGAAGAGAACCTGGCATAAGGTAAGCCATACATAAATGTTTATATATGTTTTTAAGAGTCTTGTTTCTTAAGTCTTGGCCTAGAAAAATTAGAAATATCAATATAATATCTTTGTGACCTTTAATATTTCTCAATTATTTAGATGAATATTGACTTATTTTTTAAAGTGCAATGTTCTTTAAAGTATTGTGTTAGGGTTTTTGAAAAATTACTTTCTCATTTCATCATCATCTCAGCTATGGATTCATGACTTGAGAAAACATTGAAGATCAACATGAGCCATTACACATTCTATCTAGGCTTATGTTTGTACCACTTGATTATAAAAGAGACTCAAAAACTTGTCAGATGGTAGAAAAGGATACATCTTGGGTTTGCAGTGGCGTCATGCCTTTCCAAATTATTTTACACACCTCCTTTCACTTGAATAGCCAGCATCATCACAGCTGGGACCTGCAGAATGGTGATTTCTAAAGAATATTAAAGGGAAGGAAAGTTCTGGGCATAACCTGAACCTGTTATTTCTTCTTTAGTTGACAGTAGCAGTGACCACTTCTGTACTTGATTTTTTTTTTCTTTAACATTGGCACTAACTTATAGAAGCACCTTTAACTGATGGTGACCTACCCGTGCCCACAAGCTGTCAGCCAGTCAGCTGTTACCCAGTCCCCTGGCACCACTGCAACAGGTGAAGAACCAGCAGTACACCTCATCGGTGCCTGCAGCTATCAGAAGAGTACACCAGTTCAGAGAGGCTCCTGAGAAAGATGCATTCTTATGACCATCCTGTGCTCACCAGTCAGGATTTTTCAGAAATATGTAGCTCCTGTTTACTAGGTATTATTTATGGTAATGAAGGAGAAATAGCTAACATAAATACTTTGCTTAAAATGAGCCAGGCAGGAACTGTTCCAAATGCATCTTTTAGATTTATTCAGTTCTGCCAGCAGTTCAAAGAGGCAGCCATAATTACTGTCTCTGTTTTGGTGGAAGCACAAGTTACTCGGCCAAGATCTCTGCACTCGTGGCCGTCTGAGGTGGCTCCAGGTCACCATGTCTGGAGCTGTCATTGCATCCACACAGACGTGCGTCATTCTGCTTCTCCCATCTTCATTAGTTTGCTTTTTCTTCTCTCATTTCTTCATTGGGGAGCATATATAATCTAGATGTGGTTTGTGATCTCTTGTCTGTTATGAGCCTTTCATTCTACCTATTCTCCTCATTGAGTTAGTCCGTATATGTTCATACATATAGGATGCTTGAGATGTCAGAGAAAAATGGTGATTGAGTTTGTTATATTTATAATACTGTCAAAGCCTAATGCACATCAATTATGAGGAATAAAATGAAAACATCTATAAAGTGTATAACCTTATAATATATGGCATTTTATTTGCTTTAGTTGTACATAAAACTGTGTTTTTATAAATGCAGGAAGAGCGAAACAGGCTAGCAAAACAGCTTTCTTCACTTCGAGAGCAAAGGGACCAGCTCAAGGCAGAACTAGAGAAATACAAGGAATGTGACCCCCAAGTTGTGGAAGAAATACGTAAGTTTGCGTCACATATTGAGGACTTTAACTTTGCTAATGAAGACAACTTTATACTTCTGGTTGCCTGATAACCATTCTCCAAGTGTATGAGAGAGTAGAGCTATTAATAGTATTCATGTTGCGTGAAAATTTCCTTTGAGGAGACTTAATGTTAAAGCATTGAACAGTGGTAGCTTTAAAATGAAAAGCATTGCAAGAGTAAGAAGTTTGGTGGGGTAGAAGGACAAAGATATAAAATATAAGTTTAGGAAACTAAGGAGTCAGAGAGGGAGCTAAGTTGGCCCCAAGTACCTTGATTCTAGAAAGAAATCCACCATCATCTTCTAGGGAAAATGACACCAAAATGTAAGTGTTTGCAAGTCGCAGAAAGTCAGCCTGTGCGTTGACTTGCCTTTTGAACATACAATGATGTTTTGACCTACTTTTAAACCAGAGTCTCCAAAGCTTCATTTTGAATAATTCGTGTATGTTTATATAAAGATAGAAATTTGAATATTTAAAGAAGTGAAAGGGTGTATTATAAGCATGCTGCATTTAATTATTTGTCACTTGAAAATTAACTGGAGATCAGTTTGATTATAATTAAGTTATCTTTGGTGGTATTCTTGTGCAATCTTAAAGTTAAGCTTAATGTTAGAGACAGGTCCCGGTCTGCGCAGCTGCAGGGGGTATGTCCCCACACGTGTGGTACACGGCCTAGGTGGTGGCATGTGTCTGTGGCTCCATCAATTGTCCAGGGTGACTTTCGAAGAGAGGGAGGCAGAAGAACTCGCTGAGCCTAGTCCCTTTCTGGAATTAGGTGTCTGGGGAGGAAGGTGAGCTCTTTCACGCCACCCACAGGTTCATTTTGTGTATCATCATCCTGCAGAAGGAGAGTGCTAACCAAATCTATTGCTACAAAATTAGCCACTTTAATCTGTTTTAAAGTTTTAACTAACATCACATGAGACACTCAGTGAACACGAGGACATCAGAATGGCAGGAGAAAGGTAGGAGGTTACTGCCTGGAAGTTTCGCCTGCTCATGCTTCATCTTTAAAAGAAAACCCAGACCTCTTGGTAAAGAGGACATTAAATATTGTGTCTCATCTATAGCATTTTTTAAGTCCTAACCCAAGGATGTGCTTATTGGTTTGAGAAAGAGAGAGAAATTGATGTGAGAGAGAAACTTTGATTAATTGCCTTCCATACATGCCCCTACTGAGCATCAAACCTGCGTGCGACCTTTCTCTACTCAGGACAACACTCCAACCAACTGACCCACCCGGCCCAGGCTAAGAACAGTTTTATCGCCCAGATTCAGTACCTTCAGCGGGTTTGTTTTCAGGATCAGTATAGCTGTGCCCTCTAGCAGTTCATCATGAAAATTCTGCTTTCACACAGTAAAACAGTTACCAAATCTGATCCTTCATTTGTTACTCTTACTTGTTTCTGCCTTGCTTCCTGATTTCAGTTTTGTGGGATTCTTGGACGTTTTCCTCGAAGTACCCACTCTTGCTTACCTGTTGCATTCTCCTTTCTGTCCAGCACCCACAACACGTAGCCCTAACCCATCAAGGCTTCTGCCTTTCCACTCCGTGGTCCCCCCCTCGTGTTGCCTTGGCTGGTTAGACGACCCTGCCTGTATCACTTCGACTTGTGGCCTCCCCTTTTTACAGGACTTGTCATAATTTTAACTTCATCCATGCTCCCAGAAATGACTAAAACTCTTCCTTAGGCTTACAATACTACTCTGTCATAGACTGATGGTGCCCCTAAGGCAGCGGGTCACCATGGGGCGCAGAAAATCAGCAGGGATAGAGAATGTTGCCCAACTTATTCAGGAAGTGGGAAAACCTTTATTGCGGACGTGTAATTTCAGATGTTACTATTCCCTGTACCTCTGGGTCATGCAGCTGTTAAAAAAGAAAAAAGTTTTTAACTTTTTTCATCGCCTCTAAAAAAGAAAAATAAAATTGGAAGAAGTTTCAGGGTATATAGAGGGTGATGGATTTTCTGGAGAGGAGGAAGCGTGGCTGAGGAGGAAGTTGTAACTAATTTTATACTGGTCGCCAGAATTCTGCTCTTCATCAAAACCCTTGAATGTTACAGCTTGGTCAATTGTTTCCCAACCCAGGGCAAACGTACCAGTGTCAGTGAGTATGATGGGTATGGTGTCCGTTTGAGTGACAAGGGAATCTTCTGGTTTAGAATGAGTTAAGAGACTTTATCAGTCTTCCTCAACATCAAACTGAGCTTATCTTTTAATAGTTATTTGTACAGCCACATGAGATGGATCTAAGTTTTGATCCTATAGAATTTGTGATGATGAATTTATCACAGATGTGGTAATTTTTGACATTTTCTATTTTACATTTCCGGTCATAATAGGGGAATGAGGATAAGTTCTTCTTCCTTGACTTTGTGCTATTTGTTTCCTCCATTAAAAAATGCTATTTTTATTATACATTAATTATAGAAAATTAGAACATACATAATAGAGAGTAAATATACAGGATAACTACACTGTTTCATAAATATATTTTAGATATCAAGGTGAGATATCTTTTTCTATGAAAAGCTACCAAATTACAATCCAAAGGTGGGGCGGGGTGGACAGTCACAGTCTATGTACCTGTACACAGAATTTTTAGTCTAATTTCAGTTTGTACTTGTCTAGAGAAATGTACAGTTTCTCTGCTTTTAAAATTCAGCTAATGAAACTTTATTCAGACGTGGCACTTCCAGCACAGAGAGTAACACACTAGATTTATCCTCCCACTGAAACAAAAACACGTGAAATAATGGTTTTCAAGATGCTTGACATCAGACAACAAAGGACAGCGATCGTTAGAGCAGACAAAGGAAAACCTTATCATCATTCGTCCGTATTTTGTTGAGCTTCCTGGTTTGGGCACAAGAAGGGAGAACCCGCGCAGAGTTCTGCGGACTCCCTTAATTGACGAGAAGGCACGGCGAATCAGGGAGACCAGTGTGGCTGGAGCTGATCCAGGGCAGCGTATTGGAGAGGAGAGGAGTACACAGAAAGTCGAGAACCCTGGGTGTTACGAGGGGCTCCTCTCAGGTGTTCAGTTCATGAACATGAGGAGACTGCCCAACACTGGGAGAAGAACAGCCTCAAAGAATTAGAAGGGACAGTGCCAGGCACTCATACAGGGCTGGGAATGGTGCTTACTCTTACCAGCTGGCTTGGAAAAATGTGTAATTCACAGGCATTGGGTAGAGCACTCAAGAAGGTCTTGCTCCCTCTCAACCCACCTAACAAACTGTAAGAGCAAGTCTTGAAAGCATCAGCGTTTCAAAGTAACTTTTGGCATCCCAGAACAAGTTCAGGAACATTTATAGGAGTACAAAACTATCTAGCACCCAACAAAATAAAATTCACAATATAATAATAATGTAATAAAATTCACAATGAAAAATGATCAGGCAGTCAAGGAAGTTGGCAAACATGATCCTCACAAGAAGAATAAACCGTCAATCAAAAGTGACCCAGAGCTGACACAGATAGTTAAATTAGGAGATATGCCATTTAAAGTTGTAAATGTATTCTGTATGTTCAAAAAGTTAAGTAGAAACATGGAAGGTATAAAAAAGATCCAAGTCAAATTTGTAGAGGTGAATACTTCTGAATTGGAATAACGGCGGATTAAACTTTGCAAAGGAAAGGATTTGAAAGGAAAAGAAAGTATTTGAAGACACAGCAACAGAAGTGATCCAACGTGCAACTCGAGACTTTCTGATGACAGTAGCACCTGTGACCTGGTCTGTTGTAGTCAGGGCACCAGAGGGGTGTGTGCTGGGCAGCAGGGGCCTCCCAGCCAGAAAATACCTGAAGAAGTTTATGTCAGAAACAAAGGCTAAATTGTTTTCAACTTTGATAAAGGCTATAACCCGCAGATTCAAGAAATGTAAATATATAATTAATAAATGGCAATGATCTCCTTGTCACTAAATCTGAAGAACTGTTTTAGACTTTAACCTCTACTCGCCCCGCATCCCCCTTTCCCCAGTGAGACTATTGGTTTCGAATGTGCTTTGTGATAATGAAGGATTACATAGTATTTGGCTGTCACGTTATTGTGGAACAGGTTATACTGGATTAAAGATTTGTGAGTTTCACAAATCGATTTTTTTAAAGATTTTATTCATTTATTTTAGAGGGGAAGGGAAGGAGAGAGGGAGAGAAATATCAATGTGTGGTTGCCTCTTGTGCGTCCCCTGCTGGGAACTGGCCTGCAACCCAGGCATGTACCCTGACTGGGAATCGAACCTCAATCCCTTAGCTCGCAGGCCCACGCTCAATCCACTGAGCTACACCAGCCAGGGCCACAAATTGATTTTGATAGGATTTGGGATTTTGTTTTTTAAGATTTTATTTATTTATTTCTAGAGAAGGGGAGAGAGGAAGAGAAACATCAATGTGTGGTTGCCTTTCTCACATCCCCCTCTGGGACCTGGCCCATAACACACACATGTGCCACTCCTGGGAATCAAACTGGTGACCCTTTGGTTTGCAAGCCAATGCTCAATCCACTGAGCCACATCACCCAGGGCAAGGATTTGGCTCTTAATGGCATGACTATAGCACCCATGTTACATCAATTAGGCTTATCTTTAAATCTGTCATGATTTATTTTGAAACATTTTTTCTGCTGATAATAGCTATAACTCTTACATTCTTGTAGACATGGCTATGTATTATCTCTTACTTACTTCTCAATAATTCCTGCAGGATATATTTATGTTTCATCATGCCAGTAGAATTACTGATATCATTAAGCAGGTATTAGCAACATTAGTTGCAAATATTCAAGAATTAAGTAAAAGGAAAAATTTATAAAAAATAAAATTTAATTTTAGCTGCTGTGACTATTGCTTAAGAACAAATGAAATAAGTTGTAAGAATTGAATTCCCACAAAAATACTTGAAAGTAAATCTTAGAAGTATTTAAGAACTTTTCTTAGAAATAAATACCAGGATGACAGTAGAAAGTGTGGAGTAAGGACTTCAGAAAATGTTTATCCTTCTGTGAAAGGTAGCAAAAATTGTCACAACTTTGTCAGAACTCTGAAAACAAACCAAAGATTGGCCTAGTCGAGAAAAATGGCTGGATCTCAGTGAGAATAAGTGTTTTGTGGTGTTTTAACTTGCCTTGTGTTCAACGCCTACTCTCCAGCTTTAAAAAATAACAGCCCTGAATCCTGGCATCAGAGGAAGCAGAAAGAACCTGGATCTCTTTACAACCCTCATTCCCAAAGAATTGTCTTGATTTGATGTCTCACAGATTCAAGACTATAACTCACAGATTTAAGAAATTTAAATATATAATGTATAAATGACAATGATCTCCTTGTCACTAAATCTAAAGAACTTTTTTAGACTTTAACCTCTACTCACCCCTGCTGGGAACTGGCCTGCAACCCAGGCATGTGCCCTGACTGGGAATCGAACCTTAATCCCTTAGTTCGCAGGCCCACGCTCAATCCACTGAGCTACACCAGCCAGGGCCACAAATTGATTTTCATAGGATTCGGGATTTTGTTCCCTGAAATTTTGGTTCCCTGAAAGCCACCAGTAGAAAGGATTGTCTTTATTTGACCTGAATTCGAGTATGTTCAATGCTAACAGCCTCTCCCTGGGGGGTGTTTGTCTAAAACAGTTATGGGCAAGAATTTTAAGTTTGTGTCTGTCTTAGATGATGAACAGCAATTATGGCAAACAGACTAACCAAAAAGCTTCAGAGAAGAGGCTGAGGCCCTGGCCTGGTAGCTCAGTTAGTCAGAGCATTGTCTCAATATGTGAAGGCTGTAGGTTCGATTTTTGGTCAGGGCACATACAAGAAACTAACCAATGAATGTATAAATAAGTGGAACAACAAATCAGTGTTTCTCTCTCTCTAAAATCAATGAATAGCAAATTATTTTTAAAAAGGAGAAACTAAAAGACATGTTTGTTGACACCTTGAAAATCAACACATTCCTGGAAATCTAGAAGGCCACATGCATTGCCTACGTCTGTGTACATTCTCAGGAAAGACCTGAGAAGTTCCTAATTTCCCCCCTCTAGCTGACCTTCCTTGACATTCTGCAAGCAGGAAGTGAAAGCTAAGGCAGAGTTGTAAATTGCCTAACTGAGTGTTTAAACATGCTCCAACACGCACTTTAAAAAAATCTTTTAAAACAGAAAAAGAAACTGGAAAAAGCCCTGGCCATATGGTTCATTTGGCTGCGCATCATCCCGCAAAGCAAAAGGTTGCTGGTTCAGTTCCAGTTGTGGAACTAAAAGGAAATATAATGAATAGAGCAGAAATAGGAGCAATAGCAAATTGAAAAATGAGAAAATCAACAAAACCAGAAGTTGGTACTTTAAGCAGATCAACAAAATTGATAAACCTTTAGCTACACTGACCAAGGAAAAAGGAAGATTCAAATTATTAAAATCAGGAATGAAAGAAGGAATATTATTGTTGACCTTACAGAAATAAAAAAGAAGTATAAGAGAATGCTATGAGCACTTGTAGGCCAATGAACTTGATAAGCTAGGGGAAATTAGAAAATTTCTCAAAAGATACAAACTACCAAAACTGTCTGAAGCAGAAATAAACTATCTAAATAGATGTTTAACATGTGAAGAGACTGAGTTAGAAATGAAAATAAAACTTTGTGCAATGAAAAGCCTAGTCTATGCTTCAGAATTCTACCAATTTAGAGAAGAATGAACTTTTCAACAAAAATTAGAAAAGAAGAAAACATTTCCTAACTCATTCTTTGAGGTCAGTATTAGCTTGATACTGAAACCAAACAAAGACAATGTAAGAAAAGAAAATTAGATGAATATTACTTATGAATATAAATGTGAAAATTCTCAACAAAATACTAGCAAATCAGATATATAAAAAGGATTATGTGCCCTGATTAACTGACATTTATCCCAGGTACGCAAGGTTGGTTCAACATGCAAAAATTAATCATGTGCAATATATTTGTAGAATAAAGGTGGTGGAACTCCACATGATTGTCTCAATAGACAAAAAAAGTATTCAAAAAAATCTAATACCCTTTCACAATAAAAATGCTCAACAAACTAGGAGTAGAAGTCACTTTCTTAATCTAATAAAAGGACATCTACAAAAATAATCCATAGCTAATATCATATTGGATGGTAAAGGCTGTATGCTTTCCCCAAAAATGACTCGTCTCACTGCTTCTACTCAACCTTATACTGGAAGGAAGTTCAGGCCGGGACATTTAAGCAGGAAGGAAATAATTGGTATCCATGCTAGAAAGGGAGAAATAGAAGTGTCACTATTTGCAGTACAGCCCTAAACAATCCACCAAAACCAACCAACAAACAAAAAGCTATTGGTGCTAAGAAGTGAGGTCAGCCAGTTGTAGCACAAAATCAATATACAAGAATCACTTGTATTTTATGTACTAAAAATAAACACTCTGAAATGAAATTAATTTAAAAAATCCCATTACAATAGCAGCAAAATGAGTAAAATTCCAAGGAACAAAATTAATCAAGAAGTACATGACATGCTGAAAACTACAAAACACTGAATGAAATGAAAGACCGATATGAATAGAAAGACATCCTATCTTCATGGATTGAAGACTTAGGTTGTTAAGGTGGAAATACTCCCCAGTATGATCTACAGATTCAGTGTAAAACCTATAAAAAATCCAGTTGTTTTTTTCAGAGTATGATGAGTTGACCCTAAAATCTATATGAAATGTGAGGGACCCAGAGTTGCCAAAAGAATCTTAAAACAAAAAAGTTGGAAGACTCAAATTCACAATTTTAAAACTTACTGCAAAGCTGCAATAATCAGGAGAGTGTGCTACTGCCTTAAGAATAGACATGGAGGTTGATGAAATAGAATTGAGAATTCAGAAGTAAACTTAATTGATTTTCCATAAGCGTGCCAAGACCACTGAATCAGGAGTGAACAGTGTTTTTTTTCGTATAGTGGTGCTGGGCACAACTGGTCATCCATGTGCAAATGAATCCACAAGGACTCTCGCCTCACATCACATTTAAAAATTAGCTCAACCACATCAAAGATCTATGAGCTAAAACTATAAAACCCTTAGAAAAAAACTTAGGCTTATCCTTAGAATAGGAAACAGTTTCTTGGGTATGACATCAAAAGCTCAAGCAATCAAAATAGGTAGATAAATGTGACTTCATCACAATTTACCTTTTTGTGTGTGTGTCAGAGTACATTATCAAGAAAGTGAAAAGAAAACCCACAGAATGGGAGAAAATATTTGCAAATTTTGTATCTGATAAGTGTACAACATCATATATATTTATATGATATATGTCATAGATATATTATCTATATAAAAGTCTTACAATTAAACAATGAAAAAACAACTCAGTTTAAACATGGGCAAAGGATTTGAATAGACATTTTCCCAAGAACAACACACAGTTATCCAATAAGCACATGAAAAGAAGCTCGACATCATTAGCCAACAGGGAACTGCAAATCAAAACCACACTGAGGTACCATCTCCCACCCATTAGAGTGGCTGTCACAAAAAGAACAGAAAATAATTGTTGGTGAGGATGTGAAGAGATTGGAACTATTAGATTGCTGGGAAGTGGGGGTGATTGGATGAAGCAGCCACTTCTAAAAACAGTTTATCGGTCCCAGAAATGTTATGCACAGAGTTGCCATTTGAGCCAACAGGTCCACTCCTGAGTATATACTCTACCTTGAAATGGAAAATATGTCCACACAAAAATGATCAAGTTATTCATATTAGCAATGATAACCCAAAATTTGTCACTTGATGAATGGGCAAACAATAAGTGTTTTATCCGCCCAATGGAGCATTATTTGCCGATGAAAAGGAATGCAGTAGTGACATATGTTACAGTGTGGATGAAATGACAACATTGTGCCAGGTCAAAGAAGCCTGATGCGCGCTGTGTGCATTTCACTTGTATGGAATCTCCGGGACAGGCAGGTCTGTAAAGATGGGAGGAGATGTGTGCTCTCTGTGTGGTGACTCCTAACGTGTATGGGATTTCCTTTCGGGCAATGAGAATGTTCTAGGATTAGGTAGTTCTGGTTGTATAGTCATGTGAATATGCTAAAAACCACTGAATTATACACTTTCACATAGTAAATTCTGTGGTATATAAATTACCTTCCAATAAATAAAATTCTGTCACATAATATTTATTCCCAGTTGATCGTGGCATTGTTTTGTGCTGTGTAGGCTAACTTGAAACACATAATAGATGGAGCCACATTTAATAGAAAGATGTATAATTCAGTGTAAGTAAATATTTCCTTCCATAGGGCTACTGATGACCACTGAAACTTTTTTAGGTCAGGTTTATTGTAATCTGATATGTGTGTGTGTGTACACTAAAATTCTTACCATTAAACTTAAATTATTTTATCTTATTTTGGTGTTGTAAATTGTGAACAATTTACATCTCAGACTTCTGTGTTGTCTTTAAAGAAGCAAGTTAAATAATAATGGACATTCAGGAAAGGGGTATTATTGTTCACTGGGACTTTCTATTAATGACTAATGTAACTACAGCTGCTAAAATTTGGGGGGGGAGCTAAGCGTATATTTAATAAGTTATTTAAAAATAAGTTATATTTCAAAACTTTGAGCTTTTTTCCATAGCCATTTTATTTGTATAAACTTGTTCATATAAGAAAAACAATCTCTAGGTAGATGCAGATGATCGTGTGTGTATATATATATATATATATGTATGTATTCCTTTTTTTTTTTTCAGGTCAAGCAAATAAAGTAGCCAAAGAGGCTGCTAACAGATGGACTGGTATGTATTTTAGTGGCACTGCTAAAATATAAACTTCACACTTACTCTGATGTGAAATGCAGAAGCCATTGTGCCTAGTTTTGTTCAAGGAAAGACATTTTAAAATCTTATGAGTCATTTTGTAAAGTTCAAGGGTTTTTTTTTAAAAAAGCAATGATTACTTCCAGTTTAACTTCTTGTAACTTTTCCTGCAGAAGTCACTTAGGCTAACCACTTAACTGTCACACGACTCGAAGAGTTTCGTGGAATCCTTAAGATTTGCCTTCTCACTAATGATAACAGCTAACGTGTGGTGAGGGCTGACTATATATATAAGCCGGGCATTATAAAGATATCTGTGGTGCATTCTCATTGGTCTCCACAACAATTTTATGAGGTAGGTAGGATTACGGTCTCTAAATTTAGCGATGAAATAGAGACCGTCAGCAGCCCGCGGCCACACAGGTGCTCGGCAGGGGAACAGGAGTCAGAACCCAGCTTTCCTGGATTCCAGGAGCAGGCGCTCACCCACCGCCTGTGACCGTCTTCTCTGTCTCCCTGCCTTCCTGAGATGCCTCATTAATTCATTTGCCAATGACTGTACATCTGGCTACACCAGAGATATTCTAAGAAATGGGAATTAATAAGGCATTATCTATGTGCATTAAAATTTAGAAGAAAGGTAATGAATAATAATTGCTGTGAATTGTATACCAGTATGATTATTTTTGTTAAACCCTGTCTGAAAATTACACTGATGATTTTTCAGTATTTAGTTACAAAATAGTGGTAATTGAACTGTTCCGCCCTAGGAAGAGTTTCTAATGCCTTCACAGGTGTCACTCCCCCTCATTCTGTTTCTCTGGGGGAGGACGGGCACGACTGCGCTGATGCCGAGGTCAGAGAGCTGGAAGTGACTGCTGTCGGTCAAGGTGGTCAGGTCAGGCGCCGGAACACAGATTTGAGCTGGGTTTCCCTGACTATGCTCCGGCCTCTGTGTTCCTCAAAAAGCTTCAAAACCCTTTTTCCTTGTCTATTTTAGAATTAAGTAGACTGATAAAATCAACGTAATGGGCCTTTGGTTGCTACAAAATTGTAATTTTATTTATTATAAAGTTACTTCCTAAATAATGTAATGCTTTAGTGGTAAGAACAGAGAAGGGTAAAACAGCAAACTAACGCAAAAAAAACAAGAGAATAATGAATTATGTGTCTGATAAAGTCTAAGTAATAAATACGTTCTATCACATGGGTTTGAAAAAGTACCGCGTGAATTTTCAGGCTAAAATAAGACAGTCACAAAGTGCTCTCCCCCGGTAGTTCTCAGCAAAGCAGCTGGGCCAGCAGCAGGGGCAGGCGGCCCGTGGCCGGTGAGGAGGCCTCGCTGCGGAAGGAGTCCCTGTGTCCCTCCTCTGCTCCGCCGAGACTTAGGAACTTCTCGGAGCCGCCCTCCTTATCCGCCCGGTGTGGATGATGCCTCCCGCCCGCGTGGGGAGGGTTAAGTGAGCCGGTTGGGGCGCCCCACAGATAAACACTCCCCTTTTCCCTTCCTCCTCTTAAAACAATGCTCTTGTTTTTTTCCAGTTTTCATAAACTTCCAAATTTATAATTTAAAGAAATTTTGAACAACTCCTTCACCCATGTTATTAGCTGAGAGAGAACCTGGAAGTTTTAAAATCATGTAGGATGGGAGATATTTTTAGAACAGGGGGAACAGCTGTGAAGAACTGCATTTCCACGTGAGGTTCAAACCAGCTCCTCCCGGCAGGGGTGTCAGGAAAGATCGCGGAGTCAGCACAGATCACCCCTCAGAGAACCTCTCCGTCTTCAGCACAGCGAGAGGAAACACCAGTAACACAACTAAGGGTTATTATGTAGTTATTAGTTAAGGTTTCGTTTCTTTTACTTAAAAAATTCCCAAACATGGGGGAGGGGGTAAAAGTAGGTTTACAGTTGTGAGTACGTGAAATGTAGGGTTTATTGCATTATTTATTAATTACTGTGTTATTTTTCATATAAACAGCTGTAAACCTACTTTTGCCCCACTGTGTATGTAGAATTGAGACTACTTACTGTTCAGTAATTAGATATTTCAGTTTTACAGAATGAGGGGTTACCTCAGGGTACAACTGGAAATATTGCATTTAAATGTTTTGGGACAGCAAATACACTTTAAATGCGATTTAACAAATTATATCATCGAACACCTTGGTTAATAACGAAGATAGTGGAGTGTTATGACTTTGTATGAGAGGCACCTTAGCGAGCGCGGGGGCACAGAGGCGGCCAGGTCCCAGGAGAGACTGGCGTGTACACTGTTGCCACCCTGTCCCTTTGTCTCGGGCATTCTGCCATGTGAACAGGAGTTCTACCAGTCTTCGTATGACTGTTTCTTTATTTGTTTAAATACTGGTTTTTATCCCCCTATAAAAACTTCCACCAAATATGGAAATTACTTAACAGGGAATGAGCTATCGAGATTGTGGGTCACGTGACTTGAAGGCAGACACCCAGGGGCCCCAGGACTTGTTTAATGGAGTCTTGTGGGATTGGCCCGGGAAGCATTGCTGCGGAGAGTCTTTCATGTTTGTTTCGTTCCTTTTTTAATCTTAGAAGGTGTGTGATAAAATGGTGTCTTGCCCTCCTGTGGGTCAGAACTCCTTTCTGCCAAGGCTATAGCCTTACTGCATAGTCTCCTCTTCTCTCCTGACCAGGTCCAAGTCCAGTGCTCTAAACTTTCTACTTCCATACACGCGTCCGTTCATTCCCTGGAAACCATTCTGTGCTTGGAGACTTGTTTTGAAAGCTGTCCACTTAACACTCGATCTTTCTTTCTAAGAGACTTTGAAGTTGTTTAGTAGTACATTGACTTTTCTCTCTCTATTCTTGTGTCAGCTTGACAAGGTAGGTTCTTTACCTTCTGGAATACCCGTGATACACTTAGTGCCCGTCTTATGTAGCCCTCTCTAAGTGTTTGGTATGCAGGCACTGGTGAACCTACATATCGTTCTAGAGAACTCATGCTCTTAATATTTAGTGAGGTTTCCTCTTAGGTCCTCATAAAAAGTAAAATTTGTTTTAGGTTATTTTTAAAAAGTAAAGATTTAATATCTGTTGATATTCTATAACACTTTAACTGAAAGAAATGAGGATATTTTTAAACATTGTTCTATTTGATGTGTTAGTTACCTTAGAAATTAATTTCATTTCAAACATTTCATTGTTATTTGATGCCTGGAGTTAAACTTTTTTGTTTGTTTTATAATTTTTTATGTTACTAAACGTGCCCAGATATTCTGAGCATAGTAAATAACATGTGTGAAACAGATCACGTAGCATTTCCGTTGGGGAAGCATTGTCGTCCCTGATATGAATGTCATGGGAATACGTAAACTGTCCTCTGTCTTGTCATCATAGTAATGAAATGGTTAACACTGAATTGTCGTGAGCCAGATATTGTGCCAGATTTTGTGTCTTTGTTTTCTGTTCTTTCTTAGTCAAAGTTACACACACATAGTTTAAAGAGTCAAAAAAGCTACAGTTTTTTTCTAGAAACACCCGACATTGACCTCTTCCCATTTCCTGTCTCAAGAGCAAGCTCTTTCTACTCCTTTAGAGAGTAGAAAGTAGGGTGTTTCTAGAAAATCTTTTAGTTGATTTTTTTTTTTGCTATTTTAACCATGTCTCCAAATAACATTCATATATTGCTTTTGCTTGATTTTTAAATTTTAAGCAGTTCTTTATTTTTTTAAATAAAGCTTTGCTATTCTGCTTCCCAGCCATTACATAATCCCTTCATTGCTCCTTTTTTCCATCATCATCATTATTATAATTCCTTGTTACTTGTTGACTGTGATTAGGAATGTTTACATTATTAAGATTATGTAATGCTATGCATGGCTGAATGTACTATTCTTACCCTATACCGCATACATTTCCATGTACTTATTGCTAATTCAACCCAAAACTCCACTAGATGTATGAATATCTTCTTCATATGTTCAGACGTACCAGTTGTTCGTCATTTTCCTCCACCTCCTTGAAGAAATTGTTCCCGTTTTGTCCTGTCTGCTCTTCTTGCCTCTCCTGGCCGGTGCACACACAGCTGTCGTCCTAGAATTCCCTTTCACCGTCGTCCCGGGATTGCTTGCCTCTCCCCTGTGTTGGATTCCCCGATTTCCTACTTCCTATATCTTATGTCTGTCCTTTTTTAAAAAGTATATTGTATCGATTATGCCATTACACTTGTCCCGGGTTTCCCCTCTTTGCCCCCCTCTGCCTGGTACCCCCTTCCCTCCAGCAATCCCCCTGTAGTTCATGTCCATGGGTCATGCATGTACGTTCTTTGGCTTCTGCATTTCCTGTACTGTTATTAACATCCCCCAGTCTATTTTGTTCCTATCAGTAATGCTTCTTAATCCTGCACCATTTCCCTCATTCTGCCCCTTCCCCCTCCCAGCTGATAACCCTCATGTGATCCCCATACCTATGATTCTGTCCCTTTTCTGGTTGCTTGCTTAGTTTGTTTTGTTTTAGATTCAGTTGTTGATAGTTGTGAATTTGTTGTCTTTATAATATTCATAGTTTTGATCTCTTTGTTAAATAAGTCCCTTTAACATTTCATGTAATAATGGCTTGGTGATCATGAGCTCCTTTAGCTTTACCTTGTCTGGGAAGCACTTTACCTGCCCTTCCATTCTGAATGATAGCTTCGCTGGATAGAGTGATCGAGGTTGTAGGTCTTTCTTAGATTTACTCCTTCATTTATGTGGGTTGTATCCTGAAGTAGCTTCCTGTCTCCATGCTGTACAGTGGTTTGGAAGTAACTGCGTTCTTCTGCGTCGGGCCCTTCGAAGGCGACCGCACGGCTGATGTGGCCCCTGGTGACAATGAGTCTGACAGCCCTGCCCTAGTGTCTCGGTGTATGCACATCTCCTTGTCTTATAAGGACACCAGTCAGACTGGGCGAGGGTCTCCCCTAACACGCTCATTTCAACTTAGTCACTTCTTTAAAGATCAGCTCACAGATCATTGGATCCTCTTCACCAAAATATCTTTTGCTCCAGGATTACAAAGTAAGATGAGTAAAAATAAAAATTAAAGTAAAGGCTGTTTCCAAACGTGGTCACACGCTGCGGTGCTGAGGGTTAGGACTGCCACGTGAATTTAGGGGAGGCGACACACTTTGGCCCATATTGCTCCAGGAGAACCTATTTTAACCCTTGGACCTCATTGTCACTACAATGTTTATAGAATACGCTGAACCAGAAAATTTTATACCATTATTTTTTATATTTGTAATACCTGTTCATTGTACAGGTGATGTATGTACATTAACGAAAACATGTAAAATGGAGGAAGGAAAACTCGCCACCATTCCCACCCCCCACGTGCAGCATTGCCTGCGCAAGACGCCTTCCTGGTGCTGAGGCAGTGAGACTGGTGTTATTTTTTTCTTTTATTACACATCGGTGACGTTTTGACCATGCATCTTTGTACACAGTTTGTTGTATTTCCTTGGGACAAATTCCTCTAAGTGAATAGAACAGCTTTTCAGTGGTAAAATGCATTTTAAATTCACCCTAGAGGATGCTGAGGATACACATCTGTTCCCCTCTTACAGCCTTTAGAGAGGGCAGCGCCTTCTCTCCCCACCCCTCGCCCTCACACTGGCCCCATTGTCTGGAAGCCTCTCCTCTCTGTGGGGAGGCAGGAGGGTCTGGAAGGAGCTGCTCCCTCTGGGCCAAGGAGCAGCTCTGCTTCCTGAGGTGACGAGTCCTGACCTCGCTGTGGAGCTGGGAGGTACCGTTCGTTAGCTTCTCCCTGTCTCTGAATTATTTATTCTTCAGTGGCACCTGATTTACTGGGGTTTTAAATACGATATCTGTTTATTCAAAATAGTCATGAAATAATTTATTTTGAAATTAATTGCCATTGTGCCATTACTCTTGAAAACGCAGAAACCTCTTTATTTTGATGCTTCTGAAAGTAAAAACAATGGATATAATTACATTTGAAATGTTTTATAACGGTGTTTTGAATTCTCAAAAGTATTTCTTATTTTCTTTATAGATAACATATTTGCAATAAAATCTTGGGCCAAAAGAAAATTTGGGTTTGAAGAAAATAAAATTGATAAAAATTTCGGAATTCCAGAAGACTTTGACTACATAGACTGAACTGTGTGGTGCTGGTAAAAGATCTATGTGCTTGTGAATGTGTAATTTTTTTATATTATCCAACCAGATGTACAGAATTGTCATTTACCTGTGATTGTGATTATCGTTTTATTCGTTGTAAATAAAGTACAAGGTATAGATGGTTTTCGTACTTTTTATTTGATGGAAAGCAGGATGATAGCCATATTCCCACAGTGCCAGTCGAACTACGATATGCAGAACAGAAGCCATCTGCCTCAGTCAGGGTTATAAGTAGTTTTTTACAGATCAAAACCATCATGGCTTCATTACACTTTTTGGTTTCATTCAAAGTTAAATATTAAGAACAAAGGGTACTTTTGGAGGCTCTATTATACACATGAGCTCACATATAACTACTTGGAAATAACCTATAGAACTCTAGTAGCTGCTTTAGTATTTCTCGGTATTTAGTGGAAAATGTGTGTGATAATGCCCAGTATACTGCATCACATTTGCAAATTTCCCACGGAGAAAAAAGAATACAGAAAGTTGCTGGTCCTCACATTTAGAGTTAGGTAGCAATTCCTGAGACATGAGAACGACTTTCTTTTGAACTTGCAATGCCTTTCTATTGTAAAGGACAAGCACGCGGCCCTCTGCCCTAATACATGTCCTTTTATATAATGCTGTAGTGGTGTTAGGACACCACACATCACTGGCTCGCGTGTGGGGATTTTGTTTTTCAACTACCTAAAAGGCAGGTTAAAAATAACGTATGTCCTGTGTATCTTTTTCCAGTTCATCTTAGGCATTTAGACTATTTGCAGGCACTCCAAGACAAAAAAGAAATCAGAACTCACATGTAATACCGTTTACATACATGCCTCAATTTTTCTACACTGTCCAATTTTGATATTCTTTTCAGTAACTTGAGTGAGATACTCCATATGTCTGAAATGACCCAATGGCATCCAAGTGTTTGCTAGTGAATCCGGCCTTTGTATTGCTGGGAGTAGCTCGGAGGCTGCTTAATCACTTCCTGGAGGTGAGGAGCCAGCTGGTCCATCTTTGTTCTCATGGCCAGTTTAGGTTGCCTCTAGGGCAACAGCCCTGCTCACAGGAGACAGTATTTGATGTAATAGACAAAGGACAAGAAATAAAGACAACCCATCATAAGCCTTTCCATAAGACATTAATTGTGGGAATTCCAAATTTTTTCAGAGCCAGTTTGCTATTTATTACAGAAGATGCTTTCTTGTTTAGAAAGAAGGTATGTATGTTCAAAAAGCAAGCCATTCCTAAGGACTCCTAAACAATTCTATTTTCTAAATATTTAGGCATTTTTTAGATTGAGTCTATTGTACAGAGCTAGCCTGAGACTGGTCGAGATGGGACCTGCAGATGATCTCGCCAGAGGTTGTGGTCCCTCCGAAGCCAGTCGTGTTCTGGGAAACATTTAACTAAACTGACTCTTCAAACAGTAGGCACGTTGGGCAGCTGAGTTGGTTAAACCATACTCCTGACACACCAAGGCTGCAGGCTCTATTCCCAGTCAGGCACACACAAGAATCAATTGATGAAAGCATAAATAAATGAACCAGTTCTCTCTGCACGCCCCCATCTCTTTACAACTCCCTCCCTCCCTCTTCCTCTCTCTCTCTAAAATCAATAATTGAAAAAAAGTGGAGACAGGGCCTTATTTAGAGTAGCACCTGCCTATTTTTGTGGTGTAAATACTCCCAGCATGGCCGGCTTCAGGTTATCAGTGTGATGATAATGTGGAGTGGGTAAAAGATGATCGGTAACACACCATTATGTATTTTTCCTACCGTACAGATGCATTACATGTAAATCATCTCAGGAGCAAAGGTAAAGGAAAGATGTAAAACAGAGCAGTAAGTTTTTAGCTTTAGTACCATTGTTTTTAATATAATATAGTTCCTCTTAGTTTGCGTAATTTAATCTGTGTTGATGGCTGTGTTTTACAGCTGGCTTCACTCTGTTACTTCACCATTAGTTGTCTTGCCTACTGGAGCACATCACTGGTCTTAATCTCGTTTTAGAGTTTGCTCTTCCCCGAAATTAGAGATACTGATCAAGAAGTCCAGGGCCATTAGACCAGCCAAGCACTAGATAATCCTTAGTGTTGGGCTGGTTTTGTTATTGATCTGAATATTTAGTGCAATTTGGGCAGACTGAGAGTCATATTACTAGTGACCCAGCCCTGGCTGCTGTGTCTCAGTGGGTTGAGCACCAGCCTGTGAACGGAAAGGTCGCTCATCTGACTCTGAGTCCAGGTCAGGGTACGTGCCTGGGTTGCAGGCCAGGCCTCCAGTTGGGGGTGTGCAAGAAGCAACCAGTTGAGGTTTCTCTGCCTGCCTCCCTCCCTCCCCCCCCTAAAAAAGAGAGAAAAATCTTAAAAATTACTAATGATCCAGGATCAAATTTGATTCAGGAAATAATGTTATGACTGACTCCCCTTGTTCAATGAATTGTGAAGTTTAAAGGGTATTTGAGAACAGAGATCCATGTTGTTAACCTTCACATGTAGTTATTTTTAAAATCTCACAGTGCTATTTTAAAATGATTCTAGGAGTGATTTCACAGTCTCGTTGTTAATTTTACCATTGTTCAAGCCCAGATCAAATCACTGAAATGTCCCTTCTGAGGTTGGGCTGGGACCAAAGCAGTTCACAAGGGTGAATTGGAATGACTTTTCCCTCTGCTGCTTGCCACATCATTAATCTAATGGGATTACAAGGTTCTTGGCCTGTCTCAGAAATAGATGCTATTATGCACAACTTTATCAAACACAATTCTCTTTTAGGGATTAGACAAGGAAGTGAGTGTATCTGGCAGCCAAGAACCCAGAAACACCACAATCTTGAGCAGACAAGTCTAAATTGGAAAGCTGATAATACTGTCTTTTGAAAACATGATTGGAGAAAAAACCAGAAAACAGTTTTCAGTGAGTATGGCATTATTTGGTAAGAGCAGTGGCAGATAGTGGGGAGGCATTTTAAAAGTATACGTCAACTCCCTTTCAGGATATCCTTCCGAATATGTAACAGGAGGAAAACTTACAGCTTTATGAAATGGCCAGTTGCTAGTGAATTTATGTGTATTATACATACTCCTGCTTGATTTTTTAAAGAAATTTATTTGTGAGAGATAGGGGTCAGTCTTTTGAAGCATGTGTTGAATCTCAAAGCTAATTTCTTTTTTTCTGAACATTTTTCCTTTCCATTTATTAGAAAAGCTATGATGTGATGATTTTACATCTTAATTTCATAGCTAATTTCTATTTACCAAGATCATCAAGTTGCTACCTTAACAGCTAAATTCAAGGCCTGATTTTACAGTCCTTGAGCTAAGAATGTCTTTTTATGTTTTTTAATGATGTAAAAATAGGCAGGAATATTGCAACATAGGCTATATGTGGCCCACAAAGCCTAAAACATTACCGACCCTTTACAGAGAAAGTTCGTTAGACCCTGAAGTGTCAAAGCCTGACAGCTGGTGGGCCAGATATGACCTGCAAGGTGTATTTTTATTCTGCCTAAACTATTTTATTTTTATTTAGTTGCAACATATCCACACGTAAAACGTCACATGCAAATTGATATTTCCAGCTTCTTGTGGAAACTGGATGATTTACTGAGCCGAAGTCCTCACTCTACATGCAGAAGATTAGCTCAAGGTGAGTAGGGCCGGCTTTCAGTGCCAGTTCTGTTCCAAGTTGACAAACTGACCTGAGATCAAGCTTTAAGTTCAAGTTTTCATCTTCCAGAAGAAACATCCTGGAGCTGTTCATTTAATTGAGATTGTACTACATATTTTAATTAACATAGGGAGAACTGACGGCTTGATGATGAAACAGCGTAGCCAAGAACAGGCAATGTCTTTCCATTTGCTCAAGCGTTCTTTTGGTTTTTCCAGGAGTTTTATAGTTTTCTTCACATAAACTTTGCATTCTTTAAGCATTTTATCTTTTTTGTTGTCATTGTAAATGGATTTTTCTCTTCTGTTTTATTTTCTAATTGGTTATAACTTATCTTTTATAATAATTTATTTTTGTTTAGAGTTTTATAATTTATTCTCTGAGAATTTTCAGATATTCTATCATCTTCAAATAGACATAGTTTTCTATGAATCTTCTTTTCTAGTTACTATGTTCATAATTGTTTCTCCTCTAATTGCATTTTGCCTAACAATACCACTCATAAAATTGTATTGGAGATAGAGAACATTTTTGTCTTGTTCTGACCTTAGTGGGAATTCCTTTGGTATTACTGCAGTAAGTAGTATCGTGGCTTTTTGTAATACAGGATTCAGCAGAAATAATGCCATTGAGTGTGGTTGGTAGGGTACGTGAACGTCTCACACGGGATGGACCACAATGTGAACAATTCACCTAAAGTGTCATATGATATGCTTGAGTGTGATATTGTAATATTATAGAATGACATGCTTATGATTTTGTAATAAAAGATTTGGTATAGATTACCAGCTCATAAAAGGGGCGTTATTTGTGCCCCTTATGTAATGTGTAATGTTAAAGAAGTACTCATCTAGTTTGATTTTCTCAAGCATTTGTATGAGGAATGGTTGAACTTGTCAAAGGCTTTTTTCAGCCATCTATGGACAGAAGCATATGATCTTTCTCCTTAAATCTATCAATAAGGTGAGTGTTATTCCTGTATTTTCTCACAGTCAGCCATCCATGCATTTCTGGCAGAAAACCTCCTTAGTCACGGTGAAGTATTTCCTTAATGTGATGTTAGAGTTTATTTGCTGATATTTTATTTATAATTTTTCCATCAATATTCTAAGTGTTGCTGGCCTACAGTTTTTTCTTTTTGTGCTATCTTTACGGCTTGGGTATCAATCAATATTATACTTTCTTCTTTAAAAAGATATGAAAATTTTCTATTCTTTGCTTTGAAACAATTTAAGGTTGGAACTATCTGCTCTCTAAATATACTCAAATAAAATTTCAAACAATAACAACAAAGTAAATCAGTTTGTATGTATGGATCAGTACTGTTTTGTTTTTAACAGTTTGAAAAGTTTGTTTTGTTGCAAGGGATTGTTTTACTTGCTGTGTACTATTTCTTTTTTTTATAAGCA